ACGCACAGAAATGCCCCATTCTCGGTTTGGGGCTCATTCCGATGGTATTAATAGTTTCCCATGCATTTTTGATAGGATCATATAAGAATACCTAAAAACGGTTGAAAGGCATAGGTATATACTAATCAGTGTTTTGAAATATGAAAGAAACAGAGGAAAAGCTTATTATAAAAAGTTATTGTAGATAAATATTATAACAAAAAAATGCAATCAGAAAGGACTTTTTAATAAATTAGTCTATACCATGTTCAAAATAAACGAACAAATATTCCGTAGTTTAAATAAAGATATGAATGCCAAGATGTTGTGGCCACTGGTATGGTTGCAGTCTCCTCTCGATTTATAGAAGTGGGTTGACCTCGTTGTCGCAACTTGATCTTGTTGTCAGGGCGACTTAGTAGAACTCACCTAGTCTGAAGTCGTCTGCCATAGTAGTTGTCATGATTGCCAGAATCATAAAGTGGACTTGATACATTTTCAAACGTTTCGCCGGCATCGTAGTCGGCATCATCAGTGAGTTTTGCCATTCTCCGTGGCAAGCTAAGAACTTGTCAAAGAGACAAGTGAAGTCAATCCGTTTAAAAATGTACCAAGTCCACTGTCTGATGCTGGGAATCATGGCAACTATTATGGCAGACGACTTCGGACTAGGTGCGTTCTACTAAGTCGCCCAGACAATGAGACCAAGTTGCGACAACGAGGTCAACCCATTTCTATAAATCGAAAGGAGACTAAAACCATACAAGAGGCCACAACATCTTGGTCTTCATATCTTCGATAAAAACAGTGTTTAAATAAACCCCCACACTTTCTTTGGTTATGTCATCTTTTATGAAGAAATATGATCGCCTATTGATATTTGGCTGCTACAAGATTGTGTGACCTGTGGTCGACCGTATGTTAGTGAAACATGTTGCCCTATTAGCCAAGGATTAGGGGAACACAAAAATGTCTATAAAGGGAGCTGAGTCCAACAATCAAAAGTGGCGGAGATTGGACATGAGATAGAATGGTTTCAATCGAGTAATTTCGATAACTATGGTACGCCTGCTGTTAAAATGAAGATGAGAGAGGCAACTGAAATTAATAGATTATGGAATATTTTGAAAGTGAGGAACGGTGATAGAAAGATAAATAAGTACTATTTATGCTCGATTGATAAATTGAAAGAGTAAGTGGGTGCTGAGCGGCCATCCAAATGAGGGCGACTTAAATTGTTATCTTAGTAACGGTTCTAACTTCACTCACACTCGTCTAAAATCTTAGATTTATCGAAAGTATGCTGACCAAGATAGTGTGGCCATAACTATGGTCCAAGTCTCCTTTCTTTGAATACTAGTTATTTGACCTTGTTTTCGCACCTTGGTCATATTGGCAGGATAACCTAGAGGAACGCACCTCGTCCACAGCCAAAAGTATGCATGCGAATTTCCAGAGTCGGCACCTGGACTTCATACATTCCCAGACATCGTACTCGTCATCGTCAGTGAACCATGCCATTCTCAGCACCACGCTACAACTCGTCAAAAGAGACAAGTGAAGCCGATCCTTTGACCAATTGTGTGCTAAACAGCTGTAGTATCTCTCCTTCTGTCATGGGCTATTCACCTACCCTATATTCCTGTATCACCCCTTCAGTATCAAAATTTATTACTCGATTATCTAAATCTCGGTGAGGTGTGCCCTCTTAACCAGAATAAGTGTGCCTTATTCACATTCTTCACTGGTTCCCTCATTCCCCCCCCCCACACACACTAGGCTGAGAGTGTTGATCCAGGATCCATAAGATCCTTCCCTAACCTGTCTGGTTCAGTGATTTAACTCCATCTCTGCCACCATCAAGTTGGTTCATAAAGTTGCGGTATTCATCTCACTTTTCCTCACCATGTGACCAAAGTGCAAAGTAGTCGTCCAGGTATCGCATAAGCACTTTTGGTTGCAGCGGTGACTTATCGAATTCCTTTTCCAATCTCTCAATGCATACATTTGCTAAAAGTGGTGAGAGCAGTGATCCCATCTGTAGTCCAAATATGTTCACATGTATTTTGCCAATGAATGTAAATTATATGGTTCTCACTGTCAGGTTGATTAGTCGCTCTGCCTTCGGAATATCCTCCTCTCGTTTCAAGACCTCCAGAAGGGCGGTGACTGCCCTCTCGCCTGGGATGTCGGTGTACATGAAATGTACGTCAGAACTTCCAATTGTTCCGTCCCCACCAGCCCAATATTTTTGGATCGTTTGAGAAAATTCATATGAATTCTTCACGGGGTTGAGAGTCCGTCGTTTACTTTCTTAAGCTCCAAGCAGGTAAATTTCTCTAGTCTGTTGCTCCATTCTTGGTGCTGACTATTAACCTTAATGGTTTTCCTTCCTCGTGTATCTTTTGTAGTCCGTAGGCTGTCGGTGTGGTCTTGCGTCGGTTTTTACTAAAGAATTCTTCATCTATCTGAAGTAAATGTTAAAGGAAAGGCAGGACAACCGAAAAATCGACAGATTAATGATAAATTATTTACTAAAAATGACTTAAGGCCACTGACAGTCTACGGACTTCCGAAGAAACATAAGTTGCGAAAACAAGGTCAAGCAACTACTATGTTAGATTAAGCTCATCAACCAAACAAGACGTACGAGATTACGCAGCCCAAGTCATACCTTTTATAAGGTGGATAAACCTTAATGACCCTAGACTGAGATGGTAGGGCAGGTGATTTTGTAACATGACTTAGACGATTATAAGATTAATTCTCATTATCTCAACCATATTTGCTCACGGCTTTTCTTGGATCTTTAAGCCTTGGTGACCAGAGCCTGCCAATAGATTTTTTGATCACTCTGATTGTTAGCACACACGCACACTCACACTCGAACAAAATAGCAGGCCAAATATGAAAGATAATTAGTCAAACAATAATATATATATATATATATTTATGTTTATTAATTTTTTTTAATCATGAGTATATATATAAGGATAGATTTCTTGACCTAGTGTTACCGTGAGATAACAATGAGTTCCAGCTCTGATGATGTCGATTATAGGATGGACGAGAGCTCAGCCCATTTTCACCCGAAATGAGGGATGATATCTCGTTGACTACGTCAAACTAAATGTCTGCAGTACAACGGGAGTCAATCGTCGTTTTCTGGCTAGATCAACCCAAGAATCTCTTCTTCATACACGTTAATACGAAATGAATAACTTTCAAACACTCAATTTTTCATGACATTTTAATGTTTGCTAGGCAGGCTGGAGCAGAGAGTTGTCCTTTTCTTCAGAATTTTACG